TCTCTCTTAATTACAAAAAGAATTTAATAGTGATCAGAAAATGAGAAACTAGGTAAAAACAATCAAATTCAATCAGTTAACCACATTAGTTTATTTCTAACCAAACCAAACTAACTACATTGACTCGATTGGCCGTTCAACATAACCAAACAAGCATATTTTTCAATTTCCTTACCAGAAACTCAATCGATTTGAGTAGCCCCATACATGGAAAATGGATCAAACCGATCGATTCAATAACTCCAAATCAAAAATCGAGTCAAAAACACGTAAATGTGACAGATCTAAAACTTAGTGGGCAACTACATCACACATGACAAAACAATGAAATGATAGGAAAAAAAAGTAAGATGATAGAAAGGAAAATTAGGGTTTATGATAGAGAATTTTGACTAACCCCATGATGTTGACACCCAAATGAAGACTAAGTTGAAGAAAAAGGTGGTAAATCTGGCCAAGATCTGCAGCATTTCCATGGGAATAAAGCACCGTCAAAGAAGCACATGAATTCTTCACATACATCGCCACAATCTCATTCCCTCTTCTAGTTCTCACCCTCAACACGTCCACATTTTCTCTCTCCTCCACGCCCGTCATCCTCAGTTTCCCGTTCGCCGCTTCTTCGGAGTACACGCTACGGAGATTGAATTTACCGTAACMCATCAATTTTAAGTCAGTAATTTAACCTAGTATTTGAGCAGAAGATTGACCACTGTTACCTGTACGATGGCGGATCGGGTGGGAAGAACGCGAACTTGGCCGCCATCGACGAAGTTGCAGCACCCATTGAAGAAAGATTCAAGCTTTTTATATTTCCCTAGCTTTTTTGTGTTTTGCTAGATCAGCTGCTGCATGTGCATGGTGTGAATTTGAAATTTGAAGCTTTGTTTTCTGTTTGGTTCCCGAGAAAATGTTCGGAAACTTTGAGGGAAATGGGGAGGGAGGGAATTTATGTCGTGTCGGGTGAGTGTTTTTTAGAGCAGAGGGGAGTGATTAGCGGCGGAGAAGTGGAATGACAAATAAACACAGATCAAAGAGAGGCCATATTTGAAACTATTATTTATTGATTTTATTTTTTTTCGACCTTTTCCCCTTTTTTTTTAATAAAAAGAAAAAGAAATTGAAATTCTTTGAGAGGGTGAATGAGGGGTCCCCTTAAAGAGCAATTAACCAAAAAAAGATTTTTAAAAAAGTTGGGGTTTTGTCGTTTAAGGAATTAAATCGGATGATGTGATTTCACACCACTAATTCTATATTTAATATCGATTACTACTCTACTAATTATTGTTATGTAAATTTCGACAGCTAAATAATTTGGGTTTGTTTGATTCTGSCTCATCATTATATTTTTACTTTTTAAAAGGTTAAATTGTTTAATTTTGTTATATTCTTTTACGTTTTCAAAAACAATTTTGACGATTTTTTTTCTTTTTTACAATTTGACTATAACGTTAAATATCTTTTAACCACCTCTGTTAAAAAAGAAAAAGATATTGATATCAAATGGATCTTAGTTTTAAATAGAAAAGTTCTTTTCCCTTGAGTTCGTTCCCAATATTCCACATCTCCCTCTAAAACCCTCATTTTCAATATTTTTTTAGTTAATATAGGGAGTAGTACTAGAAGTTTGAATCTATAATCTCCTACAGAGATGTCGTCCTTTTAACACAGCTACATCCTCGAGATATAGTTTAGCTTTTCAAACCACTTTTTATACTTTTTATAATAAGAATTTTGGTTAAAACAAAGTTGTGATATAGTTTAATATATTTATGTGTCAATTCCAATGTATTAATGAGGTGTGTACTAGCCAAATTAAAGAGAGAAATGGGAGGGCCAAATTATGGGGGAGAAGTCCAATAGAATGCACAAAAAAGTAAAAAGGAATGATGGTGGGGGACATGAATTAGCTCCAATTCTTGAGAAGAAAAATGAGTCGATAAACATCCAAAGGGGTCTCAAGGAATAACTTTGGTGGTTTGGGACCTCAAAAAATATCTTCGAGGTCTTGAGTTCAAATCACATGGAACGCAACTATACTAAGCAATGATCCCTTACGTATGGAGATAGTGTGCACACCGCCAAGTATAGGATTAAGTATAGGGATATAAAAGTCAAAGGACCACCGACTCTTGGGTCATCAAAAGAAAAATAAACATCCAAAGGGGACATCACATTATTTAATGGAGGCCATCCCTTTACTAATCTCTCTCTCTCCAGATCTTTTGACTTTCAAATGACCTTGATGTCCCCATGAGCTCCACTAGTAATAATGTTTTTGTTCATTGAGAGAGGTTTCAAAACTCAAAACTTTTCGTTTTTACCCTTGATCTACTTTGAAAATGCATATATTGAGAAGTTTAACCTTTTTTTTCTTTTTAAAGTAATGATTAAAATTATCTTTTAAAGATGAACTTTAAGAGTAAATCATTTCTTAGGGGACTATTTATTAAATATTTTTTCATTAATTATATATATAATATCTCAAAGGCTTCTTTTTATTGATGAATATATTTTATCTAAATGTGTTCATGCGCTATATTCAGCAGGAGTTTGGGCTTTAGAGCTAGATATCACACAATAAAGAGTTTGACAAATTTAATAGTGACAGGCTATTTCAACAACGTCAATCCTTTCCTTAAATTTCTCAAACATGGGAAACGTTTTTACCTTTTGTTGGTTTTTTCTAACTTTATGCTTACTTATGTTAAGTATACATCATTTTTTCACTACAACGTGTGGAGGTGAGGGATCAAACTCACAACCTCTTAGTTGAAGATATGTATATGTCAATTACCGCTGAGTCATGCTCGCTTTGGCTTAAACATGTAGTCTTTTAACACTATTACAAGTGCTATTACCATATAGACCTTATTCTTTGGAGGTTGTCTCTATGGGCTAGGTTTGCACTTTGCAACCCTACTAGTTAGTTGGATGACCTGTGTGCTCTAAATTTTATTGTTTTGCTTAAACTTGGATGCATATATTTGTTCTTTAAAATATAATTAAATAAAAAGGAGTAAAAGGAGTAAGGACACTAAACACCCTAAGCCCTAGCTTTTTCCTTTTTTTTCTTTTTCTTTTTTGGGAAAAATGTGATGTTTGGTGGTGCCCCAACACACACCTCCTCATAAAAGTAATAAAAAAAAAATTTTAAAATGGGCCCAAAATGATGTGTTGGGGTCTAGCTCCCTTTATTTGATACAATTACACATTATTTTTATGTCATGATCATCAAGCTAAGATTTGGTCTCTGATCAAATATTAATCTATAAAAGAGTTGGTTGCTTATCATGGTAACTTATTTTATATTGTTTAAGAAGATTATAATATTTGTTAACATTTTTTTACAATTAAAAGGTTTTGGGTTAAATTTTTCCTATTAATAGATTTAAGAGCAAACTAATGTTGTTCCCGCTATATGTAATTCTGATAACAATCGTCTCATTGAAAATCATATGTTATAAATATAGTTTGTTCAAAAGGATTATAATAAATTAAGAGTGAATTAGTTCAAACTCTGTGACAACTACCTACCTTAGGAATTAATTCCCATGTGTTCCTCGAAAAGAATAATAAAAAAAAGGGTCGTATGTTATAATAGGCTCTCTTATTATTAATCATTTTTCTAAAGGATTGTTTTTATTTTGGAAAGAGACTCAAAAGAGCCAATTTTAAGAAGTTTAAATTAGACAAAATTGATCAACCACATTGAAATGTTATCGAAATTAATGAAGATCTCTATTACAAGAACATTATTATGAAATGAATTAGGAAGAAGTCGCGGTCTATTTTGGCAACATTCTTGTTTCTTATTTCGTATTTCTAGTTTCATTTTTTAAGAAATATAAGCCTTTAGTAGTATATTGTTCATGTTTCTCCATTTCTTATTTTTAAGAAACGAAAAAAAAAATCAAGGGTTGGTTTGGTAATGTTTTTTGTTTCTCGTTCTCAACTTTAGAAACATAAGTATTTGGCCACTATTTATATTTCTTATTTCTGATTTTTTTAGAAACATTCTCAAAATTGTATGTAAATTTTGAAAACAACAAAAAACAAGTTTATTACTTCTAGTTCCTATTTCAAATTTGTTCCAAAACAATAAATAAAAATACTATTTCATCATATTCTTGTATCCATATGGGTGTTGAAGGTCATACAATTCTATTTTTCTTTATTAAAAATGAGAAAATAGAAAAAGGAAACGCGGAATGTTACTGGCCACTACCATGTTTCTTGTTATTGTTTTCTAATTTTTCCAAAACATAAGTAATTTGACTTACAAAATGTAAAACAAATATAATGTAAAAAGTTTGAGTATTTAATTTTAAAAAATAAAGAACAAGAAATTAAAAACAGAAAATGAGAACGAGAAACAAAAAAAAACAAAACAGAAACATTACCAAACATATCCTCGATAATTTATTTTTAAATATAATCTTCAATTTTGTATCTATATCATTCTTTTAGTTACATTTTTTTATCTTTTTTGTTTTCACCAAAGTTTCAACATACACACCTATATCTTTTAGTAAAATTTTAATATATATACCTCATGACTCACCAATTATAACATAAATATTTTCAATCTTTAGTACATCAAAAACTAAGTTCTAATTAAACTTGTGAAGGAAATTTTAAAAATTGGGATATCTACATTTAAACTATTGTTGGGAAGCACAATGAATGTATTGTTGTTATACTTATAACTATAAGAATTGAAACTTTAAAAAATTAAAACATTGAAATATGAAATTAAGCTCATATTTCGATCATTTGAGAAGAATTTAGGGGTATCTTGGAACTTGGGATCCAACCTTCAAATTTCTTACCTTCTATTTTTTAGTTATTCATTTTATTCTAACAAACAAACCAAGTGAGAAAGTGATCAAGGGTTTTTTTCCTTAGTATTAATTAATGTTTGTGTTTTTAATGTAATTTGAATTTAGTTTCATTTCGATCATATTCAAACTATTATATAGTTTTAGTACTTTTGATAAGGGTATGTCAGTCTTCTTATTATATTTTATTAGTATGAGATAGGTCAATATAAACATGGTTCGACATCTACTTCTTATCTTAATATCAGAAGTAATATCAGAAATTCAAATTATAGACCACATGGAAAAATTAATACATCAAAATATATAAAATAAATTAAATACTTTAGATAGTAGGAGCGGAGCCAAAGGAGAAAGGAAAAGAGCTTGCCCTTTAGTTGTCTTATATAAAAAATTTCAAATTTAAGACTTTTCTCTCTAATTTCTCTATCTTTTAATATTTGTGACTTCGTTCGATCCCTATATAAAAGTATAGTTTAAGAAGAGACGACACAAGTACATAGTTTAATACTATAAATTTTTATTTTTTTATAGTATCACCCATCAAAATATATTTTTAAAAAGGAGAATGAGGGAGAAAATATGTTGAAAATAAAAGGGTTGAAATAATTCTTGGAGGACGTGAGTTCGAATCGTCGACTGTTTATTATACTTAAAAGAAAAATAAAGATGTTGGAAATAAAGGGTAGAAATGGCAAGAAATAAATGAATAAAGTAAAGAAATGGAGTCCACTTTCTGACCTTGGATCCTTGAAATAAGCCTTCCTCGTTCATCCCACGACGGCAGACAAGCGCACAACAAACTCACCTTCCTTTTCACGTACGTTAACTTATGTTTATTCTTCCAATACCATAATAATAATATATAAAAAACCATATATTTGAAGTATGAAAAAAAAAATAATTGTTATAGGTGAAATTCTCGACTTATAATACCCATGTAAGTAGGTCGGGATCGATTGTCAAACTTAGTAAGAGAATTAAGGTGAGCTCGTTTGACAAGGTAGAGCATACCAGATAACAAACGATGGCCAGTCAATAGGCAAGTTTTGTTCCTAGCTAGTCCGTACCATGTTCGTGCTAAACTACAAATAAAAAAAAATCAATTTTTTAGATTTTTTCTTTAGAAAAAAAAATCTACTTTTTATGCCTTCCTCCCCCCTACTTGTAAAAATATAATAATGATCAAACAAAGAATGATTTTTTTTTTTATTACCCAGGAGTCGGTGACCCTTTGACCATTATGTCCTTCTATTTGGGATATGCGTACTGACATATGCAAGAGGTCATTGTTTGGTGAAGTTGCATTTCATATGTAACTTGAACTCAAGACCGAGGATATTCTTTAAAGTCCTAAGCCACCCAAACTATCCCTTGAGGATCGGTAAAAACTTAAGTATTATTCTCCGCCTGCAATATTCTCACCGACAAAATAATCGGTTGTTATCCTAATGAACCTTAACTTTTAAATATCGCACAAGAGATCATGACAAATGGGTTTTGCACCAACATTGATGCTATACAAATAACACAAAAGAGAGAAGCAAAAAACTACATAGAAATGAATGATGTGCAAAGTTTTTGGATTTTCAAAGCATTAAGAAACAGAGGGATGTTGGAGAGACAACAGTCCCATAGATTTGACCACCTAAACCAAACTTCACTCATTTCTATATATAATCTCCCTCTTGTCTTCTTCTCAGAACTTCTCTCCACAAAAACACAAACCCTAAAATTACTTAAACCCTTCTCTTGCCACCTTCTTCACTGGTTTCCCATTTCTTTAATTTGCAGTTTGCAGAAGGAAAAAGTATTTACCAATGGGGTTGTTCCTTAGATTTGCTTGCTTTTTGCTCGTTGTTCTTCCTCTTACATCCCTTTCCATTATCAAGTTTCACCGAGGTCTCGTTCATTCTCATTCTCATTCTTTTTTTACGACTCTTGGGAACTAAATCGAGTAGGTTTGTGTAGACTCCCACCAATTCACAAATGGTTGCAAAATATGCGCACATTTGCACCAATTTGTTTATATGTTATTAGAAATCATTGCAATTTTATAGAGTCCGGTAGTGATTTATTAGGTCTCTTATTTTTATTTTCAATACGAGGTCAGAAATGATTGAATGTTCGACCTTGTTGACCTCCAATACCATATCATGATTTGTAGAATTGCATCTCAAAACCAATTGGAAATGTATATTATAAATTTTTTCTTATCTTTTCGACGTGGGATCCTTGATCTAGACGTGTTTTCTTGTAATTCATTGAAAAGTTAGCATTTAATACGAATTTACTAAACTTTTTTCTTTTTCTTTTCTTTTTCTTGGCTTTAGAAGACAAAGATGCAACTCAAGAATTGGATAGCTTTGCTTCAACTGAAAAGGTTAGCGACCCATATTATATATATATAACTTTTCATGAGTAATTTATTAGTGTATCAACAATTTCTCTCTCTGTCTCTCTTTATAGGAACTAATTTTGAGCAACAACGTTATTGGAGGAAGAAGATTGGGAGTGGTAATGGAAATTAGCAGCAAAAGCTTGGTGGATTTTTCAACTTCTTCTTCCAGTGGTGACAAAAAGAAGAAGAAGATGAGGATAATTATTCCAAGGAAATTGATTAGCAGAGGGTCTGAATCAGTTTATAATGCTGATTATTTGACTCATATGCATCACCCTCCAAAACATAACTGATCATTTGGAACTTCATAGGTTCGGTTTTGTTTTTATGTTAAATATAATGAGAATATATATCCAATTTTCCCCCCTCCTTATAATATATATGTTATGAAGTTTCACTATATGCAGCTTAAATAGCTTTAATTTTGTCCTTTATTTTGTTGTTTTTACACAGTTGTTTATCATCAAAAACAGCTCTCTCTGATCACTAATAATGGAGATTATGTGAAAATGTTGTTCTTACTTGTACATTTATGATCTTTCTTTTGATTCAAGTTGATATAGGGAACGACTATGTTCGAGTTTCTCTAAATATCTGAACAACGTGTATGTATACCCTTTAGATTGTCCACTTTAAACATATAGTTCGGTGATTAAGATATGTATGATCTCTACCTTTCTTAAAGATTTTGTCAAGTTCCAAAGTTCCAAATCTCTCTCCGTACTTATAATGTAATATTCTTCTTAAAAATGTAATATATACACATATTTAGAAAAGTATAGTTATCACAGAGTTTGAAATAGCTCCTACAAAGTTGCGAAGTTCATAGATTAAGATAAGATATAGTAGAGGTTTCCCTCGAAGGAAAAAAATGTATAAGAGAAAAATGATAACGAGAAAATTTTGGAGTAGTACAATGTAAATGTGGAATGGAGACTTGAATCTTCGACAACTAAGTCGAGGTTATAGTAGTTGGGGTTTAATAGCAAATAATTTGATTTAGTTCATGGATTATGAGGTGATGTATAATCTTAACTTGTGAAAAATAATTAAGCCCATATTTAATATGCGTGAAAATTTGTCTACCTCATGCTACATAAATTCATGCTTATGAAATTCACCCCTAAGATCATAAATTTTTTTAATTATATTTTTAATTCAACCATTAAGGAGCACCTTTTTAACCTTAAAATTGTAATAGAAATGTCTTATTTATAAAGCTACACCTAAAATAAAATATTGTGTCAAATATAATATATATAACTTAGTTATGGCATATATTGTAAATTGGAGGCCCAACATTGCATATATTGCAGCCCAAATTGGTAAGTTAAAGTAGAACTACTTGAAAAATATAATACATTATGATAAAAACAAAATATATATAATACACTGAAAAAATAACCAAGACGAAAATAACTCTCTCATTTTTTGACCCAAAATGAAGAAAAGAAGAAAGAAAAAAGGATAAGTTGGTAACTCAAAATAAAATTATGAAAAATTTTGTAATGTTTTTTCCTCTTTAAGTTCAATCATATGATTATGTTAATCATTAATACCGATTAACATTAACATGGAAACATATTTGGATTTGCCTTTTTATTTTACATGATACGATGATCTCTCACGACTAATTATTCATTTCTATTAGTGGGTGGTTTTCAAAAGAAGAAAATCATAATAATTTTTTTTTAGAGATCCAGAAAGATTTTAATCTATTAATTTAAAGTGGTCCAAATATATTTTTTTTACTTTTTTCTCTCAATTCTTTGGAAGAATATGTTTTGGATCTATCATGTTTGATGTTTTGGAGATTCTTAATCTTTCATGATTTTAATATATCTTGTAGTTTTACCCATCAAAATTAGTTATTTATCAAAAAAAAAAATCAAGATTCGTTAATTTAGTCATTAAATGCCACTAATATTGTATTAATTAAATAAACACAAACTTTAATAAAAATTTTAAAAATGGTTGGTTCATTTAAATATATATTACAAACTTCAACCTTCCCTCTCAAAATATTTAAGACTAATTTGAAAAGGCAAGTTGTGACAGAGACCTTTTTCTTTTCCTTCTTTTTTATGTGAAATCCCCACTATAGAGACAAGTTCTCTCATTCTTCAAGTGGTATCAAATAAGGTTGTGAAGAAAAAGCAAAATTATGGCTATTAGTGCAATCATTTCCAACCACCATTTTGGCTGGTCTTTCCAACCATGTTGCTTCTGTTCAATGCTTCTCCATTTGATATGGAATCTTTCATCAGATTTTGTTGGATTTCATTTAACCAAAACCTCAGTTTCAAACTCAATCAATCCAAAGCTTGACCTAAGAACAAAGGCAGATATAAAAACTGGCACCATAATCTCCACTGTTTGCATAATTTTTCCTCTGAACATTTATTCTACAAGTTATTTATATAACAAGGTGGTAGCAGCTAGAAGAACAAAGTAATTTTCAAGAAAGAAAGAGAAAAAAATACTAAAACCAAATCTACTGAGCTGATGCTAAAATATTTACAATAGAACCCAAGTAATACTGATCATCTTCTAAATGTAATCTCTGGGAGAGAAATCAGAAAACCAGACCTCTGGCATATCGAATCAAAGCTATCGACTCTTCTTTCCTTCCTTCTTGGCTCAATATATCATAAGCAACAGGTTGGTTGGTTGCTCAATTTCAAAATTGGCAAGAAGTACCAAGCCTCTGTCTCTGCCTCTGACCTTGAGTCACGGATTTTCGTTTCGCAAATGCCGGGTGAAGTAGCTCCTGAAACTTCTCTAAGAACAATGACCATGCATCCTCTTTCATGTCTGCTAGCTTCACAAAGGTTACACTCGGTGGGAGCTGTTCATTTGCACTCCTGTGCCCAGATGATGTATTGGTCGTCATGTATCCATTCTCAGGTTTTGTTCCAAAGTACTTCACATGTTTCTTATTCTTCTCACCGAGACTGGTGTTCTTCAGTGACATGGAAAGCTTTGAAATAGTTGGAATCCTTTCAGAAGAAAACAGATCCGCGAAGCCCCCTCGCTCGTCTCCCTCGCTGTTTTCTTCCTCAAAGCTTTCCTCCAATTTACGAAGAGGGAAGCGTCCATGCATACCACCAACGCCGAAGTGGAATGGTGTCCTCGTGTAAAAATCATCTGCTTCCATCTCTTGGGTAAAGCCCGACTCCAAATCGTCGCAGTCTATATCAAACTGAAATTCCTCATCACCTAAATCAGCCCTGGGGGATAAGACCTCCTTCTCTTCAATCAGCTGTCTGGTCTCCATGCAGAGAAGTTCCAGTTCACTGGGATCCTCCTCTTCGCTACGAAACTCTCTAGTCATCATCTCGCCAATTTCGGCAAGACAGAGACCAAATGCAGCAGCCTCCTTCAGGAAGATAGTGCAGAGAACCAAAACCCTGAGACAAGCCTCACGAATCATGGGAAGCTCCATCCTCAGCATCTCACTATCTTTAAATGGATTGAGATCTTTGATATACTTGAGCTCATCCTCTGAAAATGGAATCGATGCCTGCGGCCAATGAATCCACTCGAAATATGGATCCTCTAATGTTTCAGGCAGGCAGAGTCCATGATCAATTGGAATGAGCTCCACCTGACCAAACCTCCCAACACCATCAAGTTTCCTAACTAAAAGATTTCCAGCATGCCTATCTGTGTTAAAAACTCTAATGTCTAGAATTCCTATGCGATGCACAGCCACGACTGGGAAGCTGGAAGTCCCATGATCACTGGCATCAAAATCATGCGGTATGAATTCTTGGAAGGACGCAATCTTGCTGACCAACTTCTTCTTACTTGGGTTGTTACCATTTACTCCGTCGTTTACATTGAAGATTGAGTGGGTAATCTTCACTAGGGTAGTGGGAGGCACATTAGCAAAGTGATCATAGTCAAGAAGATAAGCTGCAACCTCTCGGAATCCAGTCTCCCCGACACGCACTGATCTTTTCAACCCAGGTTGACCAAGAGCTTTACCAACAAATCCTTTTGGATTGTTTGGAGCAAAAGGTTCTTCATCTGTAGGCTTCACAATCGCAACACTCTCACCTCTCTTATTTCTGAAATAGTATGCACCACCAAGTCCACTGTGCACAGGAATAGGATCTACACCAATTTTAATTGCTTTAATAATCTCACCAACCAGTTGTCTTGTCCGAGCAAAACGATCAGAATGGCCTATTATCTCAATAGGTCCACTTTGATCTTTTTGCTGGATATCCCTTCCAGTAGGTGATAGACATGGAGTTGACGAGCTTCGATGCAGAATGTTTCGTGTGAGAAGAAGTGGGGAATCATTTCGTACAGCACTGAGGTCGTTCTTGAGCACCATATCCCCAAATGTCAAAGAACTCTCATCAGTTGGTACATTGAGTGCAAGCTGCAACCTCCTCTTCACAGTATGAACATTATCGCTCCGATCCAATTCCATCCCCAGAACACAACCTGTGTCCGTTTGCACAAAGACCCTTCTCCTCCCTGTAGGCTGTTTTCCTTCCATCCTCTTGCTCCCGCCATACTCTCCACTGAGTGGACTCTTAAAGGCTGCTGCCACTGCCATCTGGGTCTGAACAGGGCTGTCCAATTTACGAGGCATTAAATACAAAGGTGAACAGGCAGTGCTGGCAGCAGGCAAAAGAGGTGGCAGTGGAAGAGAGGTCCTTCTCTCCCAGAAAAGTGCCCAACTCTTATAGCCGATGCTGATTGAGCTACAAAAAATTCTTGTACCCTAAAAATCATTAATCGCCCTACGCAGTAAGAACATCCCACTGAAGCATGAAGGAATGCCCACAAGAAACTAGACGGAGACTGAAGATTTCAAATGCTACACCCACTTACCCATTGAGCAAGATGCTCAAAGCCCAAGACCTGTTAAAGAAACACAAGATCAGAGTTAGTAAAAGAAGTTAATTCATGGAAACTAGTCCCCAACCATGAATAAGTTCTGGTACTGACTGAGCAAGCCCCTTGTATTTACAACAGCAGAGCAATAAAAAAAGAACTCGACTTAATTTCAACTAAAAGTAGGAACTTTCAGGCTGTTTCCGTAAAAGAAAGCAGAACCATGACCCGTTTAAATGGATTGTTTCAGAACTCAGTGGCAAGAAATAAGAAAAGATTCAACTGATGCTTCATTGAATTAGACTGAATTATTTGAATGCAAAAGATCACTGATCAGTACGTTTTTTTAACTTTTTGGAGCCCCTAAATAGTTAAGACACACTACAAGAAGTCCTCGTGAAAAGCTAATTTACTTCAGAAATAAATGCAATGGAGGCAGAATAAAGAAAACGCATAACTTGCGGCTGACTCATGTCAATAAGTTGGTCTAAGCTCAGATTGGTCTCAGAAAACTTAGAAGAAAATAATTAAACCGCCATAACGCCAGTTCCATCTCACACGCAATACAGAAAAAACAATCATTCCTTATTCTATTGTCACCAGATCCCCAAACTCCATAACACCTCAAACAACGATATATTTCCGCCCAAAACACCACAACATCCCACAATTCCAAGAGAAATGACCACGAACAGAAATGAACTACGTTGATTAATCCAAAAAATCCAATTAAACACATTGAAATCAGAATGAGAAACTCACTCAGGCTAGAGATCTGAGAGAAGCAGGAAAATCAAACAGCGTAGGCGCGTAGCAATGAATGTGTCATTAAATTTGCCGACCTTGGGCCAAAAATTAGACGAAGAAGGCTCGCGAATGGGGCAAAGGCGTCGTCTCTGCGCGAGTTGAGTCGGTATTATTCCTCCCTTCGCCGCAGTAACAGAACCTTCTCCGATCTCCGATCTCCGTTCTCCGTTCTCCGTTCTCCGTTCTCGTTGTTGTAGCTCAGTTCGCCCCTTCCCAGTCGTCCCTTTAACCTAACGCGTAAAGCTAGGGTTAAGTTTCGAACTCTGGTTAGAATCTCTAAGTCTTCTCTCTTCTCTCTTCTCTCTTCTCTCTCTCTCTCTCTCTCTCTCTCTCTCTCTCTCTCTCTCTCTCTCTCTTCCTTCTTCTTGCTGTGCTTCGTGATTCGAAGACTCCAGAACAAGCAAAATGGGGCCGGCGGATCAGAGGGGGAATCTCAGCCGTCTGATGAATCGGTCGTGGGGCTGGGGAAGAAGAGGAGAGATTGACACGTGGGGGAAGCTGATTGGACTGATGAAGTGGTAGTGGGCCCACCGTCGGATGGGCTTGAGTATGTTGTGTGTCAGCGAGTAGCACGGGAATTTGATCCTTCCATAAATCGGGTAAATACACGTATTAATATTAATACCGGATATTTTTAACTATTGATTCTACATTTTACGGATTTGACCCTGTCGCAGCGTAAATTTTACACTCTCAGCCCGTCTGAAATCTAAATTATTTTATTTGGACTTAAATAGTATTTTTCTCTTCTATTTTCACTTCCAATCATTAGTTTAAAAAAGCGGCTATTTTGGTCTTTCTATCCTCATTTTCATCTTATATCTTTGGATCGTAATTTTATCACCAAACTTCTTTCCTAAATTTATTGAAATATATCCATAAATTTGTATGAAAAAATTTTCATTTTAGTATAAAATTAGTATTTAATTTTTACAAATAAAAAAAATAAATGACCACTTTAAAAAAAACAAAAAGGAAACGTTTCGAATAATCTTTTATTAAATAATGTCGGTTTTTATGAGTCTTGTGAATAAAAAGGTAAAAAGGGAGAGAGAGAGAGAAAAAAAAAAGAAAAGGTAAAAGTCGTTTTTCATGATAACGGTCAAACAACTTTTATTGTTTTTGTAGGAATGGAAAATAATAAAACAAATAAAGTTGTAACTTGTGAGAGGGGGAGTTTTTATCTCCACCTCTTATTGGTCATCGATTTAATTTAGAAAACGTCGTGTTTCTAAAGCTTATTAGATTCACATTTTCAAATTTATTTAATTAAGTTGTTTTCAACTCATTTAGATCCTATTTTAATATTTCAACTCTATTGTTTGATTTCTTTCCCCCAAAAAAAACTCTATTGTTTGATCATGAATGTGACAATAGGGGTAAAATTTAAAGATTGAATTTTGATCATCGTGACTGTAACTACCCAAACTTTATGTTACGTCAATGCTTAGATTTTGATGATTTTTATAGAAAAATAATTAGATTTTACCGGTCAACATCCATACTATCCTTTGATTTATTTTATAGGGAGAGATAATTATGGAAAAAAGATATTTTTTCTTTAAAAAAACTGTCGAATTAACATGAAAATTGATGTTTGATCGATAAGCACCCGAGTATTCTTTTGGTTAAATGTATGTTAATGCCAAATTCTAACCTCCTAACCGAATGAGCGAACCTATGAGGAAGAGAGGACGACCTATGATGAAGCAAAGGAATGGTGGACGAAAGACCAGAACAAATAGAATGACACTTGATTGAGTTAGTATTGAGTCAAATGTATCGCTCTTGAGACGAGCTTACCAGAATTTTCTACCTCTTATATGTATGGACGTTCAAGGATGGCATCCACTCATTTACCACGTTGCACATCGCGTGAATCCCAATGTGATTTATGCAATAATGGTGAGTTACGAGTTAAATAGCGGTTGAATAACGTTTACAAATGATATAGCTCGGCCCATATCAAAAGATGGTCGAGCTATAATTTAATGAGTTCGACGTTTCTTACTAAACCTATATATAGTGAACTATTTTTATTGGTCTAGGTGTCACGTCATCTTGTTGGGAAATTGATTGACATGAATAATTTTCCGTTCCACAGAAAATATCCAACACAACCACAAATATGCAAATATGAAGAAAAACAGTAAAGAACAAGAATAACACACAGCAAATCATACTGGTTCACTAAAGGCTACGTTCAGTCTTCCACTCAGATGTGAGTAATTCACTAATATTGTTTAGGATGGGATACAATAACACCCCCCAAAATATCCCCTTGAGGTCTCAACAAAAGTCCCCTAGTATTTTACACAATTAATACTTAGGAACAGGAATGAAAAACTCACAATAATTAAGATCTAATTACCCCAAATGTGTTGATCTTGATGAGCCTCAATGTCGTTGTCAATGCTTGAGCCTTCCCCTTGAAATTGTCATGAAACCCTCTGAAAAATGGCTCAAAATCGGATGAACAATAACCCTTTTTCGGCTAAGAAACCCTAAACTCGAAACTGTATTTATATAGGTATCGAAACAGCGTCATGGCGCTATGGACGAAAAAGTTCGCCCCGAGATTGGATAGCTCTACGTGGTCTTGTCCCCCAGACTTATTGGTCTAGGTGTCACATCACCTTGCATCGCCTAACAATGTCCTAATTTTTAAATATTGCTCAAATTATCTATTTAAAATAAAACTTATTAAGTAGCATTTTAATGGGGATAAAAGAAAACTCTTAACATTTAATCTCATGCTTTTAACATGGCACCTGTTGTTGTCTCGGATTCGCTCTTCTTCGACTCTAACCACAATCTCCCATCACTCATTTTGACCTTTTAATCGCTATGAACTTATTTTACTTGTCCTCTCCCAGTCTCGAATCATATTTCGCACCATTATTATATTTTCAAAAAGATTATAAAATAAAAAAATTTATATACTCTCTCGATGGTTCACGGCCTCTAGTCATATGATCTACATTGAAGCAGGTACTATAAATAATTTATTTACGGAAGAGATTGAATGAGTGGAGCCCATTTGAACAAAATTTAAAAAAATAAAAAACCCTGAGCCCATTCCTTGCCTTGGACTTTTGTGGGGTTGGTTTTGTTACTTTATGGGACATTAAATTGCATCTGCCCCTAGATTTATAAACTTCTCCAACACAAAATGCCATACCAGCTACCGGTTTGTTTTCATCAAATAATAATAAATAATAAATAAAAGTTTTTTTTATTATAGATCTATGAAATAATAAATTTCGTGTGAATTTTTAGTTTGAGAAATTAATTTATAAGTAGGTGGCCATCGTGTGAATTGAACTAATTTCCTCTAATTTTTTATTATTTTTATTTGTTTGAATTTTTTCGAACGCTCGTAGTGGTTAAACACTTATTTTATTGGTTAAGTAGTATTTTTTAAGTTTGATTGATTAAAAATATTGTTTTTTTACTATTATTGACGTCATCTGAATCCTATCGTGTAGATTTTTTTTCTCAATGAAATATACACTATACAGTGATAAATAAACTGAAATTTTAAAGTAAAAAACAAAAAATTTAAATGTGCACTAAAATCCAAATGGTTGGTCCAAGGAATAATACAAGTAATAATCGTTTTTTTTTTCTTTTTTGCTTCCTTATTTTCTTCGTTGGTTGAGTCAGAGCATGGGCCCACCCTTCGTTATTTCAAATCACGTGCCGCCCACCCCTATAAAATCTAAACTTCCAACTTCCCTCCCCACCAATTTCGTATAATCAAATTCCAACCCCACGCTTCACTTCATTGATCACTTTTTGTACCATAATTATTTACGGGTTAAAAAATAATTTAATTTTAAACAATTTAACTCCAATAGTTAAAAAAACGTTGTCAAAATTAAGTGTCAATTTCTGTTACATAGCAATTTACTATTTATAATTTATAAACATATTTTGGTTCTCGATCTACCTATATAAGAAATTCAATAATATTAACAAAAAATTTTACAATAGTAACTAATTGTGTTTTTTTTTATAGAAGAACTAAATTGTTATATATTAAACTTCATATACTAAATTGTTAGTAATTTAAAAGTATAAGGATTAAATTGTTACAAACTAAAATTTATGTACTAAATTTATGTACAGGCCAAACATATTTTTTTTAATCTTGTTTATTATATTTTGTATCATTTTCGTTGGAGAATTGACGATAAGGTTCATGACAATAAAATAAATAAATGAAACTTAATAAATAAATGAAACTTAAATTGCAGGTTTATTTAGTTAATAATATAATATGACAGAAATATAAGATGATGAGTAATTTTATATGACATGTATATCAATCTAGTTTTTTTTTTTAAATAAACTATCTACATAATTATAAACATAAAAAAAGCATAAATAAAATTAATTGTGTGCATACATCATCACAAAATAACATAGATACTCCTTTAATGGATAATTATTAGAATATGATTCAATAATTTATTAAAATTTATGGATAGCTTTACATTTGTGCTAAATTAAAATAGTTGTTATATATTGCATTGTATTTGTAGTATTAAATTATGTTTTTTGTTTGAATTTATTTTATCGTGATAGTAATGTCTTGTCTTGTCGCATTATTTGTGGATAAAACCTTTTTTTTGTTGTTGTTAATTATTGTCTCTCGGTTTATTTTATTTAATTAATTATTATTCGATGGGCGGTGGGATTTGGGAAGCTTCTTCTGCGGCCTTTTGTAATCGCTTTATTTTTATAATAATAATGAGCTAAATAAATACAGAACACAACATGTTGGCTACGTGTCAATTTATTTATTTAACTTGAATTTTTCAAGGAAAAGAAATCAATTGTTAATAAATATGAAATAAATAAATCAGCATTTAATTTGTGGTTGGATCTTAACCTTTATGGTCAAAGACGAATGTTTGACCGAAAAGAAGAAATAAAGTGGAGGGTATAACTGTAATTCAGGATTTCACAAAAATAAGGGGTGCTTGATAACCACCCCGTTTTCTATTTAAAAACAGGCTTTTTTCTCTTTCAACTATTTCAAATTTTATTTTTCTAAAAATGTTTTTGAAATTAAAACGGAAAATGTAGGAGATTTTTTTACTAGTAGAATGTGCAAGGATGAACTTTTTATTCGTACTTTTTTTATAAATATACCTGCAAAAAATTTAGTAGAACTCTAAGTAAGAAATTCATTTTGTCCAATCAATAAAAAAGTTGCTTTTGAATATTGTGTTGGTTAATCTTTCGGGTCGGATGTTCAATCTCTCATCCCCGTATGTATTATATTGAAAAAAAATACCTAATTTTACAAAAGATTTTGTTATATATTTAGACTTTGAGTATGTTTG